TTTCTCTTGCACAGGTTCATCTTTGAAGATTACACTCCTACTAATTTTGACACGTTTCCGGCTGCCATCATGACCGTCTTTCAGGTAAGACTCCACAGAGATCACTAAGCATGTAAACATAGTAAATAATTTTGAATCGTAAACTTACATTCACTTCATATTCAGCTTAATTATATTATTTAGTATGAGTACACATTTTTTTATTTAATTGACATTGCAAGCCTTAACTTTGATATTATTTAAACTGCTTTTTTTTATTGATTAATCCAACATAGATTCTTACTGGAGAGGACTGGAATGAGGTGATGTACAATGGGATTCGCTCACAAGGAGGGGTGCAGTACGGCATGTGGTCCTCAATCTACTTTATTGTTTTAACCTTGTTTGGGAACTGTATCCTTTTTGGCTATAGCTACTTTTATGTGTTGTTGCACATGAAAACAGCTTTGCAAGCAAGTAAAGCTTGTAATGCTCATTCCATTCAAATCTACCCAAATTCTTGACAATGCTGTGAACAGATACATTGCTCAATGTATTCTTGGCTATTGCTGTGGATAATCTAGCCAATGCACAGGAACTGACTAAGGTAAGACCAAGAAAGGTAACATATTACAGTTGTCTAATAAACATGTAAATGTAATATTTTGCAATAACACTGATGGTGTACCAGTCATAATCCCAAAAATAACATATTATGTATGTTTCTCATTATGCATCGAGTGCAATTACCTTTGTGTGCATTTTATATAAAATTAGTATCCATGCCCTTAATTAACAGTAATCGCATGGTGTATTCATAGTGTATGCTTTTAGGTAGGTATATTGAAGAGTATTTTTTGTGTTAGGAAGAAGAGGCGGAAGAGTTCTTCAATCAGCGTTATAAATCCAGAGAATTTGGCCTCTCAGAGTAAGTATTTTTTTCTCTTTTTGTCTGTCATAACCTGTTTTTCAAACTAAGGATGCAGTTTTGTGTCATGTGTTAAGAAGCTGGTAAGCATTCTAAGAAACTAACAAGAATTTGGTGTCCATTGCTGATTGTTGCAACTGATCTTCTTGTGCTTGAGACATGCTTTTAAACCATTATGCCACTATGCTACTATGTAATTTTTCAGACCCATCAAACACACGAACAGAAGTGTCATATATGAATGTACCATTTGTCTGTCACGTTTTTTGATCAGTCTTGGTTCTGGTCAAATTTGATAGGGAGGAACACAAAAACACTTCAACTGATGAACTGGAATGACTGGATCATTTTCAGTTTGTCTTTAAATCTTGGTTATCGAGGGCGTAAGAATTTCATTATTTATTTATTTATTTTTTAATCTTTAGTTGCTAGGAAACTCCACGGGGGAATAGTGTGTTTATTTTATAGAAGAAAATCAATATGATATTAGAGTGATTACAAGCTTTAGCTTTGTACAGTGCAGTTTAGATTTAAAAGTACACAAAGTCACAGAGTCAGTACTGAGCAGAGGTCTTTGAGCAGCTTGAATGTACCTAAGAATTTTGAAGTCAGTAAACAGCTGAAATGGTTGTTTAGTTCCTTTTAGCCAGTTCCTCCACTCCTCCAGTGCAGCACACATTGAAAGACGTTCCTTATTTTCTCCAACAAGAGGGGCTTTTGCACCAGGTAGTTATAGGAACTGGCCACCAGGTTGGTCCCCCAGGAACTAAACTTTCCCCTAGGGCCATTTTTCTGGTTGCATTCGCACCGCCAGTAGGAACTCTGAAGTGACTCAAGCCAGCCGACAGCAATGTTGCATTGGATTTCCTCCATAGTGTAAAGGTTGCGAACTGTCTGGACTTTGGTGCTGGTCCATCTATAGCTGTTTTCCATGTCCGTGGAGTAAGTACGTAAACTCTGTTTGCATAGCTTTTTAAAAATGGTGGGTGCCGGTGTTTTAAATGGCATGCATCACTGGTAGTTCCTATTCTGTTGGGTTAGATCCACTCTGAAATAAGAGCTAATTTAGTCAACAAACGCCACAAAAGGCGTTTCTATAACTAGAATCGTTAGCAGTCCCTGTGCTGCGAACACACCAAAAAGCAGGTATTTCCACTAGGTTACAAGGATTTTTCTGGTCGAATAGTTGTCGTTCATTTTAAACATTAGTCGACTAATCACATGTTTATTAAAAAAAACATTTAAATAATTATAATGAGCCTTTAATTGCCTACAAAGCCTAATAAGCCCTCAAGCACATGCATAAAGCTTGCCATAGCGCACCGCAGAAGCGATGATTATGAATGTGTCAGGGAAAAACAGTAAGGAGGCTGCATTA